GAGTACCATTTCTGTGATATTTTTGTGTAAAAGGTGCCTTGATAATAGGAGGTTTGATTTTATAAAGTTAAGCTGTTCCACACATTCCCTTGTTTTAAGCATTCATTTGCTTGCTTCTCTGTTACACAATTATGAGTTCTGTTCTTTTCATTTTTAACTGCTACTGTGAGCATTGCTTCACACACTTCCTCCTCAGTTTCAGTTTATAAGAAATTTGTCAGTCATTTCAAGTTTGAAAATGAGTCAGGGTACTCACTCTGTTCTCTCATCAGTCATGTCCATATTCATATCTGTTTTGTATCTATATTTTAACTGTCGGGACTGACAGTTTCAGTTAGATTACCCCTTCAAAATAATTCTCTAAAGTTCCTTCTAAAATGCAAACCAGTCAACTCTTGCCTTCTTGTGATCTCTCGAGGAAGACCTTCACTTACAAACTTTTACTGATCCTCTCCATTAGCCAAAGCACTCAGTGATGATAAACTTGCAGAGTTCTACAGCCATCTGCAGGAATGCATTGATACTGTGGCAGAACTATGTGGCACTATTTACTATGGATTTGTTCCTCATGTGAGGGAGATGTTAACTGGAATATACTGAGCAGGCAAGTATTGATTGTTACCAATTTATCTAATTGTGATATAGAAGTCAGGCTTCTTGAAAACATTATTGCATCATGATGGTATGCAGCATAGTATTTTTCTGACTACAGTTATTTAATACATGCTGTTAAATGGAAAAGGCACTCTTCCACTTCTGCCTTTGTTAGTAATCAGTACTTTTACACATTTTTTTACACAAACAGAACATAAAACCACCACCTTTGTTACTTTTAACTAATCTTAGCAATGTAGTATCATCTGGTAAGTGGTTTGACACTCAATATACTAAATGACAAAATGAAGTTTATCTTCAGTGATGATGTAACCATCGGCACAATTACAGTGCCCCAACAAAAGCAACCGCACTCATACCAAATAAATCATTAGAATTTGCAAGGAAAGTGACAGCTGCTAACAGCAGACAGCTAAAGTAAGCAACAGACATGTTGTTACAATGAGACATATAAAATAAATATGCAAACACTTTGGTTTTAATATTGTAGTACCCAGAGTTCCCCCAAGTGAGATGACAGTCTCGCTAGTTTAGCCCACTGTACTGGTATTTATGAACCTACTACAGGACACTGTCTTTATTGTATCTTTCTGAAGAGCGTGTGCCAATAATTTAATTTGAAGAATAGTTTTTAATTTGGGGAGACGGGATTTTTTGCATTTTGGTGGGGGTTCCAGGGTTTGTTTTGATTTTTTTTACACATGGAATGGTAGTGATTGCAGAAGCATGTAATAAACCGGAGAGGTAGAACTCATGTTCAGGAGTGTCTACTGTCCTATGCCCATTTTATCATACTATCCTTCTCAGTGACTGGATGTGGTGAACTTAAAACTCTAATAGCAGCAAAAGTGTTTACTTCTAGCAAAAGAGTTAAGAACCACTTTAGGTGCTCAGGCAGAGTCTGGTCAGTTGCGGTGTAGGTTGCCCCACAGAACAGACCTTTGTTTTGGGAATGTAATCATATGGTCTGTTGAGAGCTCAGGGTAGATAAAAATCTGACGTCTTACAGAAGTCTCAGAGAGGGAGACGTATAACTGCAGAAAAGGCAATCATCAAAAATATTTGCTTATTGAACTAGGAAAATTACACAAAAAGAGATTGTATTGTGTAGGCATGGATATAAATGTTTGGGGAGCTTAAAGAGACAATTTTAGTCATTTTACAATAGTAAAGGCAATTACATTGGAAAAAATAAATGGTAGGGAGACTGCAGCTATTCAGTAAGCAGATAACAGAATTTATGTCAGAGTGAATGTTTGTCACAAGAATACATAGATGGTTGTGGATTTCTTTTCATGTAATTGCTTCTATAAAAGTATCTGCTGTATCAATACCACTTTTTATTGTGTTGATTATTTCAGTAGCTTTTTTGCTGTTCTTGCCTTCCGCGTCTGTCTTCATTTTTGAGGCTCTTATTTACCATATAGAAAGAAGAATATAAACACTGGATGCAAGATGAAAAATGAATAAAAATTGACAGTGGCTTTTCCAGTGGTTTTGTTCAATATGTGGAGGCATGACACAACAACGACATTCTTGGCATACTGGTGTAAGTTCACACCAGCCTGGCTTTTGCAGCCCTCTTCTTTCCCTCTGCCAGAACTTTGCCTCTGCTGTGACACTTGCAGGCCTGCTCCACCGTGGTGCAGCTGATGCCCTGTCCATGCTCATCTTTTTCTTACTGACAGTGAGTGTTCTTGCCAAACGCCAGGGACCATAGTCACATCTGTTTGTCTCCCAAGCTTGTCTGAGGCTGCTTGGAAACACTTTTTATCCAGAGGGCAGCTTTAACTAGGCCTAATACTCTGAAAAGCCTCTATTTGTAAATGCATACAATGAGGCGACAAGTTCCTGTTGTCTTTCCTTAAAAATTATTCCATTTGACACTGCTTGCTCCAGTCCCTGTCACCAGCAGGTCAAAAGCCAAGTTTTCAGGCAAGGTGGTCTTAACAAGTTGGGTTTTTTTCCCTAATAAAATGCCTAGCTTTCCTACCAGAGCACTATTTATAAATGATAGCTGGAAGCAAGCTAGGGGTAAGTAGAGAGAAGTCAGGCAAATAGCTTTCTTCCCTTCTGTAATTTGTGTTCCTCTGATTTAATGCTAAGAAACATAATGCTGAACTTAGCCTGATAGAGGGTCAGAGTTCTCCCTACTTTATAATACCCCTATTACGATCATTTCAAAATGTACTGTGCAGCTTCAAAATACTACTTCATTATGTCTAAACTGCCAGTTCCAGAGCAGTGGTGCTTCTTGTCTGTTCCTCTTAAAAGAAGGAAAGAAAAAAAAAAAGCTTTTTGTTTTGCTGTGATCTACATTGACAGTGCATATCAAATGTCAAGACCTGGCAAAAGCAAATGCCACTTCAGAATTGTGAATTAGCTTAATGTTTGATGTTAGTGGTCATAAAGCCAGGTTTGACAAAGCTTAATTGGTGCTCCAGTGTATTGCTATGTATTTGTGGTGAACAGAGTTTTCGATGACAACAAAGAAATATCCACTCTCACCTTGGCTCGTGATCCGATTGTTGTGCTTGGCAAAGGCAAATGATTCATTTATGCTGAAGAAACAAGGCTGCCTTTCAGACATCCATTGATTTTAAATTAAAAAGTAACTGCTGTGTTCTACATGAAGGGTGACAACAATAACAAAGTAGTCCTTACTTAGTGTTACTCGTTGCAGCTCCATTTGGTGTGCCTGGAGGAAAAGTGGGGAGGCCCCCTAGTACCATAATCTTGCAGATCAATAATCTAGATATCTCAATGTAGTGTAACAGATAATCAATTCTGGGTAAAATAACTCAAACGCTGCTAGCTGTTACTGCTGTGGTTCAGGTCTTCAAGTTCAATTGCCTGACTTTATTAATTTTTATCTTTCATCCTGCTTGTATTCCTGGTGACTTTCTCCCTAGTTTCACACCCTTTAACATATAATTTACCACACAACTTACTGTAGATGTTTAATATCAATGTTATTTACATATCTTAAATATTTTTCTCAGAATTGTTTTGTTGTTTTTAAATATTAATATTCTTTATTGTACAATCAGTTATGAAAGGGTTACACTTGTTGTTGTCTTTCTAAATTAGAACTGAAAGTTATCACCATGTTATGTACTGGTTCAACTCTGCTCAGTTTCTGGATTAAAATAGGATGCAATTTCAAATTAGAAGAATTGTGAGGAAAACCTCTGCTCTAAACAATGAAACTTAAGTTTCGAAGTAGGGTTTAGTAGGTGAAGATAGATTGCACTTCTTATGAAACTTAAATATTTTGTAATACTTTAATATTTAAATAAAAGCACTGTAGTAGTTAATATCCTGTACCTTTTAAAAATAAGTTTGTAGCAGATAGTACATTGCTGTCTTTCTCATCAAGGTGTTTTCAATCTTATATTATTGAGCAGATCTGAGGTCCCTTAACATTATATGACCATTTGTTGTTCATTTAGAAGCAGTACAGTTTAAAAAGGTTTATAGATGCAGTAAAGGGTAAGTCAGATATCCACATTGAAATGAGATCCCATGAGTGACAGTGGTACTGTAATATAGTAGACTATCAGGTGCAATTCTTAGCTTGTAATTTTAGGAAAAATCACTACATTTCTATGGTAAGAATCACAATTCACAGTAAAGTTTATGGAAATATTTTTAAATTGTGGCGTTTAGAAATTGCTGTATTTCCTCCCTTCTAGTTCTTTCAAAAACAAATAACGTAAGCTACATATCTTCTATTCCACAGGCACTGTAAATTACTTTAGGAAAAACAATAACTAATTTTCCTTTACAATTGTATTCTAAAATTCAGTATTTGGAAATTCCAAATGTACTCTTTTCTGAGGTACCTGACTTCTAATAGCTGACTTTAATGAAATAAGTTAATTAGATGGAGACAAATCTGTGTGCTACAAATTTATTTCATGTACCTTTGAAGAGCTTACTGTTTCATGTTTTGTCATTCATTCTTCAGCTTACCTTAAAGAAAAATTGATTCTACTTTTCACGTAATAAATGTTGTTCTGACAGTCAGGCGTTACTAACCTACCAACAATATTGTGATCTATTTAGATAATTAATCTTAGCTATTTTCCTGTCAGAAGCAACAGTGTTTCTGTTTTATGTTATCTAGAAAGATTGCCAGTTTTGAAAATTAAAAAGCATTCGCTTTATATTATTCATTCCAGTAACAATTTATGATGCTGCATTTAGATACTGAGCGCTTGTCAACAAACATAATTATGCTTCAATATAAACAAGATTGGTGGCTTGACTGCAGCTTCATCTTGGTTGAGAATGTTTTGATACAGTTTCAGATTATAAAAGCTGTGTATGTATGTGGTGGTTTTCTTCCTTTGTTGATAGTTTTCTCCTATAATTACTTGCAGGCAAACCAGTGTACATTTAGGATCATTGTGCATGGGAGACATCAAACGGAGAAGGAAAGCTGCTCCCCTGCCAGGGCCCACAGGTAAGCAATTTCCCTGGGACAGAACACAAAACACAACATGTTAAATCTCTAAATACAAAGCAGGAGGTCAGAGACCTGGGGAAATGTTTGATAAATTCAGTAACTTTCCATATAACTTCAGATAGGTGCTATCCTTATCTATTAATAGAGATTAAGAAATAAATAGGCTCTCTTAATGCTCCCTCAAACATTTATAAAGTCATTTGTAGCACAGCACTTCTTTAAAGAGAATAAATCTTTTTTCACATACTGAGAATCATAGACAGTAAAGATTACTGCTTTGTGTCTGTTCAAGCATTACAAGGTAGAAACATGACATATCTTTTTTTCTGTGAGGAATGCATATGAGTACTATAAATATCCTGCAAAATAAAGATAGGATGTGAATTCTTGGGCAAACAACTGAAAATATGGAGATAAGACTGTGAAACACAGCTTTAAAATTAGTGCTGTAGATTAAATGGGAAGCACTTGCAAGCACATTTCTGAAAGATTTTTCAGATGCGAGGTCACAACCATTGGATGCATTTTGCTGATGTCACAGCTGTGAAATTACTTTTTCAATACTTAGCAGTGATTCATAGGATTCTCATCAGTTTGTTGTATTAATTATATATGTGCATACTAGAAGGATTAGATTGTGCCTGTGTGCCCGTGTGAGGCTTTTTATGTATTACTAATATGGAAATCTGAACTGCATGTCCTACTCTTACATCAATTACTATAGCAACATATGCAACACATACAGTTCTTTAAATATATTCTAAATAGATGTCTTTAGAGAACCCTAACATTTGTATTCCAACTGAATTCCCCATCCTGAAATTTCTTTGTTTCAAACCTCAGTGGCAGAAACAGATCAAGAATAATATTAAAAATGTTATTAAAGCACCTTAGTGGCAGCAATATGGAAAAGACAATGTATGGGTCAGCCTCTAAGACTCTGAACATATGTGAAGTGAGAAAGAAAAATACTTAATGGCTGAGAAGAGAATAATATAATTATTTCTACAAGGTGATTTTCACTTCACAACTTTCAAGTACTAGAGGATGTCATTTTGTACTGAGAGGGTCTGAAGTATCATGAAATTCATTTTATTATTCATTTTCCCTTGGGCCTTGAGCGTTCAGTATTTTATTTTACAAGCTGACTCCTGCGTAACTTTACAAACCCAATATTTTGATACTGTGGCAAATATATTATGTGATTGTTCCACGTTATGTATCTAGATAGTAACAATTTTAGAGATTGTTTTGTCCCCAAAATTTGCCTTTAAATGGAGAGCAACAGAACATGATGGTGGATAGAGGTATCATATGAGGTGCCTTTTAACTAACGTGTGTTTTTTTTCCTCCAAGTTCAAGGTAATCTTTTCAATTTTGTTCTAGGCAAGGGGATTGAGAATTTTTACTGTGGTCTTATAAAAGGGGTTTTTTTTGCATTTCATCATTGTGAATTTTTAAGCAAAGAAAAACTTTGGTAAACTTTGAGGAAGCTTCTGGATATGTGTAGAAAGTGTATAAAATTTTATAAATAATTACACTTTTCTCGAAGGCTAAGCTTTCCACAGCTAAACTGTTGTTTATTTATGGATCTTGTTTATCTGTCTTTGTCAGTATTTCATACCATTTAATGGAAGAAACAGAATTTCTTTTTAGAATGGAAATGCATTTGCAAATTTGCATTAAAATGAAAGATTGCTATTTGATTATTCTCCATGCAGGAGTTTTTAGTTAGCTAAGATACAGGAATGGAAGAACTAGATTTTATGTAGAAGAATGTGTAAATTTTTTTCTTGAAAGAAAGAAGGACAGAAGTTGTATATTTGCATGAGTAAAAGTTGGAGATTAAGCAAAACATTCTGCTAAGGGCTGTTTGTATTTAAAATCATAGTGAAACCTGAAAGGCTGTCCATAAATGAGTCATTAAATGCAAACGTTTTCTTAAGCTATATGTGCTGCAAATTAGCAAAGTTTCACCTGATGTGAGCCAATCCATTGAAAAAAGGATTTTCAAAATTCTCGTCTTCGTGTTTGGAATAAATTGCATTGCTAAATTAATTATTGTAGCACTCTGCACAGTGTTGGAAATCTTCATTTGTATGTTTGGGTTCAGCATAAATTAAGAAACTGGTGATCCCAATGAAGTATTGGAGCATGTTCTCTGGTTTTGAGTCTCACCAAGGGTAGCACCTGCTACTTTCAGACATCTTACAAAACCACAGACTTCTGTAGCAAGCAGTGTTATTGGTTAAACATTTATTAATTGTGACAAGAACACCCAATTTATTTCAGTACTCCAGCTTATTTACTGCTCTTTCACCTTTGTATTTTGTCTTGAAAAAGTAAAATGAATATTGATAGAGTTAGATATTGATTTCTAAATTTATAGCCTGTTCTCAGCCTGGAGTCAAAGTCACATACCAATGGGTTTGTGTATATTAGTAACAAAGGATGTAGATTTACTTGTACAGCAATGAGAAACTATTGAAGCAAGAAACTTTGAGCAGCCCAGAGTATTTTATGGTTTCAAAAATGTCACTTGTAAAGGTGAAGAAAAGCTGTGTTGAAAAGCAGTGAAGAAAATGGAAGATAATATAGGTATGGATTGTCAGGAGCTGACAGTACTGAGACAGGAGTGTCCTATTCTTCCCTTTTTTACTAAGATAACATTTGTAGTTTGTTGGTGCTTGAAACACCCCTACATGTGTGTTGCTGAACCTATGTAGTTAATTAGCTTGTCAAGTAAAAATGATACAGATAGAAATTGTTTACTTCCTAAGATTTCTTTTAAGAGTAAGTTGTTGTACATTATAAGTATCTACGTTTTTGCACAGCTTCTTCCATGAAACCAGTGTTATTTCAATTATTCTTGTCAGATTTGGGATCAGGTCATTCTCAATGACTTTATGCCCTCTCTGACTTACCTGAGTGGTAGAGCTATTTCATTTGACACCCTGACATATTTTATTGCAGCAATACAGTGCCCTCAAGTTTGTATAAAAACCTCTTAGACATACTAATTTACTGTAATGGAAATAGCCCTACCAAAACTTAGTCTGTTATTAATGATAATAATAACAAAGCTAACAAAAACAAAACAAAACAAAAAAAAAGGCATTTGTACACAAGAGAAAGGGCATTGTCTGTGAAGTGTTGCTACTACTTGAAATGAAGGCATTGGGAGTTTTTACAGTAATTCAGTCTTAGATTACCTATTTTAAGCCTCATATGAACACAGTATATGCTATAGAATTTTAGACGCCGTGTTTATACACTGAATATGCATTTAATCCAGTGTCTTTCCTACTGAATCTGTCTTCTGGTATACAAGGTTTTTTTCTCAATCAGCTTTTGTAGGATCCCCAAGGCACTTTTGTGCCTTGTAAGTAGCCATTTATTTCTACTTGAAAACAATTTTTTTGCTCTGATATTTACATAACATTGTTTACAGTTTGGAGCAGTGGTGAAAACCTGCAGAAATTAATTTTAAAAAGAGAAAGCTATCTTGTAGTTGAAATACAGAGAATGGGCATATAAAATACGTAAGTTATTGTGCATGTTATGGGCACTTCAATACATTTTGCAGAAGCAAATTTCAGATGTCATTTTCTTTATCTAGTTGGCATGTTGCACGCTACACTTCAGGCTGGTGTGGATTGAAATGACCAAGTTAAAAGTCTCATTTTAAAGAATGTGTTTTAATGAAAAATATGACAGATTCTTAATTACAGCAGAAATATTGAGCACTGCTATAATGCCATCATGACTCACTTTAACAAGGTAATCAAAAGGGTACATGTTTTCATTCCTTTTTAAAAATTGCCAGTGGAACAGCTAAGCAAACTATTTTGCTGATGCCTAATATGTCAGTGATTAAAAATCAGACCTGAATATCTGCAGTACCGAAATAATGATTTGAAAAAGATTATGATTACACTGTGATAACAGAGGTGGCTGAGGCTAAGTTGGTGATGAAGGTCAACTTAGTGAGATAGTTGCAGAGACAGGGTAGACTTTTGTTTACTTGGGTGAACTGACAGTAAATTTGCAAAACTCTAGACAAACCATCATAAATCCCTTTTCACAGGGCAGTACAACATTGGCATGCGTTGTGTACACTTTTCCTTATTGTATTGCACCATTGCTAATCCTTAGTGTGCCAAAGTCCTTCCTGGCATGCAGAGCATATCCGCTTGATCATGTGGCCTATGGATACTCAGTTTGTATCGTTTCTGCAGCAAATTAAATTTTAGGGACTCCTTTCTGTTTTGGGACTCCTTTCTGTTTGTTTTTTGTCCCCTACCATATTGTCTTACTAAATCAGTTAAAAAATTAGAAGCTCACAGAGTCCCATCCAATATTGGTAACTGTTGTCTCTTCAGAGCAAAAACTTTCCATGTTGAGCTTGAGGTCATTGGTTCAGGCAGGGCCCCTTACATGTAAACACCAGAGTAATGATGAGACCTTAGTAGCAGACAGTGATGGGGCACCCAAGAACACACAAGAGCTCATTAAGAATCAATATTTATTCCAAGCAACGCTATTCAGCCCTCCAGGAAATAAAAAATAATATCACATATTGGGATGTTTGTCAGGAATATGAATGCACTACACCACAACTACTTAAGAATTCATAAGCTTTTTTGACTCATCATAGATATCTTAACATGAATAATAGTAATCCCACATGTGCACAAGCACTCAGACAAAAGGGAGAGCCTCCCCTTCAGATACCCAGAATCACTTGCCAGTCAGGACAAGGCTCACTCAAAGATATATCTAGAAGAAATACATCACTCACCAAAGATGAGGTCACTCAATCTCAAGAAGTTTCCTTACATGGCATCCTGGCCTAAGGGGGAAGGCTTCCTGGCAGTTCTGCTACTCTGAGGGAAAACGCAACTTCCCAGCAGGAAACTCTATTTATAGACTAAGTCAGATCTGACCTGTGGTCGTTCATTCGTTGTTCTGCCTGGGTCAAGATACCCCATTGCTTGGGACCCTGTTCATTGTCAGAGGGTGCCCCCCGGCAATCCCCAAATTGCTCACGTAAACCAGGTGCCACCCTATCTGCTGGCAGTTCCACAGCCCAACAGGGGTCCAGAAGAAACTTTTTTGTTGAAAGAAGATGACTGTAGCTGTCTTTTATAAATGTTACCATCTTCTGAAATGTGGAAGGTTAAAAAATAATTCCACAAATTATTTTGGTAGCTATTTCTTTCTAGTTGTGGAAAGCATAAAAATAGCGTCCACATGGAATTGGACTCAGTCATCCATATGGGATGAATGTTTGAGGAATAGTTTTCCATTAAACTGAGGGATGTTGGTAGGGAGAGTCATCTTCCAGGTCAGTAATGTGCTCTGCAAGTTCCGCTTGTTCTCCACCAGGTACCATAATAAAGTGGTTTCCCACACAGAGGAGCTGCCTCCATTTTAGACAGTTTGTCAGAACCATCACCTTTTCCAGATGGGCAGAGGTACATTGTGCAGTTTTGATATTTGTTAGTCTGCTTTAGATTGGTAGTACCAAAGGACTTTTGTTAACTGGATAAGTTATGGGAGCTAAAATGTACAAGGAGGAAACACATTTAGTTTTTCTCCAGTCAATATAGCTTCTTATTCCAGGTCTCCACAAACATCTCTCAATTAGCAGTGACAAGTTTTTCTCTCCCCTATGGAAATAGTGAGCACTGCTGCACATAGACCCTACTATAGATTATGCAAAAATCACTTTCCTTAAAGATTTTTAGCATGTAGTTTGCTTTTTTAATAAGGAAAGAGGCCTATGTATAAACCTGTTATCTTCATGCAGAAGGCTTTTGCCATTTCAGGTTCATAAAAATAACTGTTTAACATATGAGAAAATATTTTCATAATTTGAAAATATAAATTCATTGGTCGGATTACCAGTGCAGGCAAGTTTGGATTTCTATTTTCTGTCTTTCTGGAAAATCTTTGCTATTGTTGGAAAAGTTTCTGATAAAAGCTGTTGTAGGTATGTGTTGTACTCTGGATTTCATAAATTAAACTTTTGCTATTGATTTCCACCATAATTAAAGGACATTTTGATTTTTTTTATTACAAGTGAAGTTTGCTATTCAACCTATATATTGACACTGCCAATGCTAATGTAATAACTAAAATTTATGTTCTGATGTTAATGTTAACATTCTGTTAATATTCTTCAATATTCTACTGATAGAGGGATTTCATTGAGCATTGTTTGCATAACTAAATAGGCAAATGGTAATTTAGCCCACAGTAAGCAATATGCAGATCTATTTGCCTAGTTTAATGAATTAATCTTCATTTTTAAATTAAAAAAAAATCAACACAATGCTCCAACCATGGAGGCACAGAATAGCAATAGATGTGGAACTTCACCTCCATATCCTGGCAATCCATCTCAACTCGAGTTAGGTTCAGATAGAGCTACTGTGATGTGCATAGTCCTAACATCAACTTAATCCTCAACCTTTTTGCTGGAATTAACAATAACCACACTGTCTCACATTTTGAGAGTATTACTGTGATTTAAATCCTTTCCCTGTGGGTTTCAGTGTAAGGTTACAAGTCTTTTTGTAAAAGTCAGGGAATGTTTATCAGAAGGGAGCAATTTTGCCATGTTTTGAGCAATTTGAGCTGACCTCTGGAATGGTCCCCAATGAGAACGCATGTGCAAAATGCCATCCTGTGATGGTCCTTCTGCCAGCATAAACAAGGTGTAAAACTGACCCCTATGGACCCAAGTGAAAAGACAGTCTTGGGGTATTCAAGAGATTCCCCTTACCGAAGGATAAATGATAATCTAATAATTCCAGCTCTTCCCAACCAATTTGAGTAGTTATAAAGGCTGAATGGGCAAGAAATTACGCTTTACACACAGCATAGTTCAATACAGCATGAAAGGAGAAGAGCACCTGCAAATCTAGTTCCCATCTCAACTGGATGACCAGTTCAACCTAAAGTTCAGTGTCTCAATTTTCACCAGTATGTGGATTTATGTTTAATCTGGGCTCTCTGCTGCAAGAAAGACTTCATTTACCCATGCCACCACTATGTGACAATTCCTTGAATACCCCTTGCAATGGATGTATGGCAGTGCAGACATTAACAAAGCTCTGCTATGGATGCACTTACTGAATGTATGGCTCTGTCCTCTCTATTTTTATCTCTCTGCTAAATAGAATAAAATACAGTGCAAGCAGACTCATCTGAACTGTAATAATTCTAAGGTTATTCTTTAGACACAGATAGCTCAGTGTGAAGGATATATAGAAGAATGGTTAAAAAAAAAAAAAAAGCAATCTCAAATATTTAGCTAAATAATATGGCATTTTCATAAATGTGTTTTTTTAGACACACAGCTATAGTATACTGAATTTTGATAACCACTGCAGGTTCTAATTTTGAAAATCACAGTATGGCTGTCGGCTATGCTCATGATGCTGACTGCACAATTATCCAGAACAGTTATAAGAATATAAACATCCAGGCAGTTTGATTCCCATTTTGCTAGTTAGAGAGAGCTGGCATAAAAAGACACGCTACCGCAATGTATTATTCCAATTACATTCCAAAATTGTCTTGTGTATCAGGATCAGTCCCTGCTGTTTGGAGCTCTTCTGTCTAGTGAGGAGTCAGAAAAGATAAAGAATATATGGAATATTAAATGCTTTCAGAAAATGAGGGGGAAATTCACTAGCTTTTAAAGTGAAGCAGCATGTATCGTTTCGCCTTCCATTGGCTGTTTATCCAATATCAATACAACACTTTAGGAGCCAAATTACTAAACAAGCTGCCAATTAGGCTCGCAGTCAGCTGGATAGATTAGTGGCTAAGAGAGGCAGATACAAGATTTTCATCTCTTGAGCCAATTACGCAAGTGAATTACCATCCACAATGCTCCTTGGAAGATTTGAGGTAGGAAGACTGACTCTGCTGTGATAGACATAAGTGAGATCCTGGGTAGGGGGTAAGGGTTAGCAGGCCATGTATTGCAAAAATTACCCAAGCAAAAAGAGATCCTTCTAGGAAAGGATTTAAAGGATTTAAGGCTGCTGGGAGCGATAGAAGAGGAAATAATGGTTGTGGTATGCTCTGCAAAGGCATTGGTGTTCTGCTCCTAAGTCTTAATCATATAAAAGAAAGATGAAAGGCCAAGACTATATTTATGTACAGTGTCATTTTCTCAGAACTGTTTAAAAACCCATTTTCTTGACATCAAAAATAGTTTGGTGGCCAGAGATGAAATTACTTCAGTATGCCTTTGTTTCTTACAACTGGGGGTGGGGAAACACCAAAAAACTCACACCACCAATATTTTCTTAAATAATAGTTATTTAAGTGATTGAACCTAGCTGTATTCTGATTTTATTCACCACAGTACAAGCCAAGCATGCTTGAGGTTAGTCTTATCCAGCAACTGGACCATATAAATAAGTACTGTCATGGTAGTGGTTTATGGGTCACAGCTCCTTTATTATTCTATAGTAAGTGGTAACTTAATTGGTGAGCTTTTAATTTTTTTAGAGACATTTTGCAAATAAAATTTGATCTGTCAGATCAAAACTGTGCATAGTCTCATTTGTTTCCTGTTGAAGATGTTGTACACTGGTATAACATGGTTTCTTAAATATGAAGCAAATTTAAAACCTGAACTTTTGCAAGCTGTTGTATCCAAAAATTATTAAACAGATGTGGAGCCTGCAGCAGCATTAGACCTCTGATCTGATTTTAGCTTACAGATGGAATTAAATTAATTCATGGCAATCACTGTAAAATCAAGGGTATGGCACTGAATGCTAGTGTACTATTTAACCAGGACATACCTGTCTCAACAGCTGTTAAGAAAAAATTGCATACCTTTGTTTTTCATTGAAACCTGCCTTTAATGCCATCAGAAATATCATACCAAAATTAAACAAAAGTGATGAGTGTTTTGTTTTCCCCTTCCCAGTTTTGCCTCTTTTCTACTCATAGGTTCCATATTGTGTGTATGTAAGGTCATATGCATAATACGTGTAGACCTTGAAGTGTGTCTATTCATACACACAAAGGTTTGAGAATTGACCTTTTTTTATTATTCATTTCAATTGGCAGTATTGCAAAGAGGAGGAAGATAAGTAAGGGTATTTTACAGAGCTATCTTTTCAAGCAAGTTACTGTTCCTTGGTGTTTGGTTCTCCCTTATGTAATGGCAGCTGCTTCTGCATGCAGAGTTCTCCCCTGGTAGGTCAGAAACCCAGTTTTTATGGTTGCTAAGAACATGTTCAGTCTGTAGAAGGAAAATACTCTGCTCAGAAGATTAATATAAATTATCATTACAGTGACTTCCTCATAGCTTCTGGAACCCCCCACAAAGCCTCATACAGCAATAAACTTAAAAAAAATGTGTCCCTGCTTTTTTTTCTTAATCTCATTTTGCACAGTGGCTTTTTTTGTGGCATGGTGCAATGGGTTGCTTTTGCTCTTGCTCCTGGGTGTGTTGAGGCTGAACACGTCCCAGAGGTAGCACAGCCGTTTTCAAGGCCAATGTGCTTGGACCATTCTCTCTAACAGGCCCTACTGGCTAGTCCAAGAAGTGCCATAGGCATGAATTAAAAACTGAACTTGAAGATGAATATTGCAAGGACAATTACTGCTTTTAATTAGGAAATAAAAGCCCACAGCACAGGAATGGGGGTCAGGGGAATAGCACACAGTGTAACATGATTTTTAAGAGCTCTCTCCCATCATGCAGTCAGTCAGCAATGCAGATTTATTTTTTTTTTTCCGATGCTGATTGGTTGTGGAATGGAGGAAGAAGGCAATAACACTACCCATATTTTTTCTTTCAAGTAAAAGATGTTCCACTACTGATAAATGGGTGAAAACTGCAGGAATATTGAAGACAGATATAGACAGTATTTATATAAAAACTGACTATACTGGAAAACAATGGCTTGCATATATTAAATATTTTTCATTATTAAAATAAAATCTACCCATATTCACCTAATCTGCAAGGCAAAATTAGTTGATTAGTAATATGGGCAGGTTGGGTGGGATTTTTGTTTTGCCTTATTCTTGCTGCAGCACAAAGCCTCCAAACACATAATCCTTTGGACAGTGTATGTTGTGAGGGTTTTTTTGCCCAAAAGTAGGTTGTGAAGCCAATTTTTTGGTGTTTTCTGCTCTTTCGCTCTTTTTTTCTTTGGTTTTGTTTTTTTTTTTAAATCTGGTGGCATAAAAGAATAAAACACAAATCTTCAGGGGAGGTTTCGTTCTTCTAACATGAGATAGAAAAGTATGTGAAGTGGGGGGAAAATAGTTTTACATTCTGGAAGTACTTATATGTCTTCAAAAGCAAAAAGTATTCCAATTCTCTGTCAGTTACAGAAAAATACTATTGAGCTACTTCAAAAAATATAAAAAATAGAAACATCAGTTTATTAAATAACGCATCAAGGTATAGATTGTTCTTTCATACATCTTTTTTTGTGAAGTTTTTCTGGCTTTCTTGAGAATTTAAATTCATATAGAAAGGTACAGCAGTTACCGGAAAAGGTCTGTGGGCTTTCCCCCAAGACTAAAAAAAGCTGCTTATGCTGTCTCAGGCTATGCCTTGCATACTGTTCCTGCAGCATTGCTATCATTGCCTAAGCAGCACTAGGAGTGGTCTAATACTTCCAATTCTTAGATGTTATAAAATATATTCTTACCCTTGCTCTTTCCTGCTTGATGGATCTCTTGCATCTTTTGTCCCTTTTAAGGTTCCTCCCTAATTGTTCCACAGATATTCATTGGAACAATGTTCCATTTCTTACCATCACTTGCTGTGAAAAATGGACAAAATAAGCTGATGTGATTTTACTTGCAAGGTTTACCAGAACTTTTGTTGAACTGTAGCCTTTCTTTCTATTTTTTGAGCTAGAAAGTATAACTAAGAAGCTTGCAAAGCCTGCGTTGTGTATGCCAGACAGTGTCAGGGACTCTTCTGTATGAAAACTGCCTCTGCCTGTGGGGGCCTGAAAAGAAAGGAAGTCTTGGACATTGAATTTTTGTGCTGGTCAGTTCAAGAGAAACCCTCTTGGGGACTGGAGACTGCCGACTTAAAAGCCTTTGTTTTAAGCCTCGCATTAAGCATAGCTTCAAACCAGTGTTAAGGGATTCATTCTTTCAGTGCGTTTCCCTTTTTCTTTGACTCGGGAACTGAGACACGAGGAAGCTGTCTGGCTTTTATGTAGCCAGTGTTTTACTGGGTATGAGCAGATCTATGGCAGATAACGCTGGAGTGTTGTAAATTCATCATTACAATCACCATGAGGATTTTAATGTGCACCTCTCATTTTGAACTTCTGCCTGTGTATGCGGTTTCAACTGTGGGGCTTTGCCTTTTTTGTGTGTGTTAAATGAGGATTTTCAGAAGTGCGTGTTCAACTTTTCTTATGTTCTTGTTTAGTAAGTTAATATGATGATGAGCCAGCTGCTTGTCAGAGGTAAATTCTTGATTGAAGACATTATAGACTCCAAAACCATAGTCTCCTCCTACAGTATTTTTCAAAGTAGCAGTCTAGAATAAATATGTAGAGTGTTAAACAGATAATGCTTAAAGCGAGGCACATGGAGGGGGAGAGTGAGTGTGCTGTTGGTGGAGGGAAGGGAGATGTTGAGCAAAGCTGAAGACAAAATCTAGCTGTCTACATGCATCTCCTTGTCTTAGTTAAAAAATTTCAGCCCTTTTAAAAATAGTGTGTATGGTGTAATTTGATATGTTTTACTGTAGATTCTTGCAATATATATAATTTGTATCCCTCATACAAGACAGTTATATATATTAAGGCTTATCCATACATTATCTCCAAATTCTAGCTTGAGGAGTTTGGTTGATGAGGGGAAAAAAAAATAGTTTTGTTAGTTGGCATTCTATTTTTATTTTTTTATTATGCATCCATATAAAAAACCCTGAATCTGTTATTTAAAAATATAAATGTTATATTAACATTTGCAATCCTGACAATGTTTTCTGCAGTATGTTTGCAGCTTTCCTCAGAGATCCAGATGGTATAGAGAGAAAACAATGCTTAATAGCATTGAAAATACATTGAAAGTAAACTTGGATGTATTAAATCTCTCTTACAACATTCAGTAAATGAGAAACTGAGTAAAGATAGGGCTGAATTTGAGAATAGTAGACCACTAGTCTGTACTGTTTCTGTGGCAGCTATAACTGCTTAATCAAAAATTATTTATTGTGTTTTGTTGAAAGAGAACTTAAGCATTGGTAAATATTGCTAAGAATAAAAAGATGGTTGTGATACTGTGATGTGCCTCAGCTTAGTAACTGTATAGGACAAAAAATTCAGGTAATCTTGCTGATATATTTGTAGACTTGTGCAGGTGGTGCGTGCTCTTTGAGACTGATGTAAAATCCACTGTATTGGAATATAAAAGGTCTCTGACAATATTTGTCATACTTAAAAAATGAGTGAGTCTTTGAAAATACTGAAAATAAAGCAAAGCATAAGAGTGTATTATTTAGAGTCCTATGCAGTCAGGAGGTCAACATGTGCAAAGACAGCCTGTTCTAGCAACCTATTAGATGAATTAGGAGAATAAGAAGGTTTAAAGCTTTAAGGGAGATTATCCTGCTCTTCTCCACATGGCAGGCAGTGCTGATTAATGCTGTGTGTTTCTTTAATCTCAGGGTTTGTAGGTGAAAACACGCAACCAATCCCAGAAAACAACATTGGAAACAGAATGCTTCAGAGTATGGGTTGGACCCCTGGCTCAGGCCTTGGACCAGACGGCAAAGGAATAGCAGAGCCAATACGAGCCATCCAGAGACCAAAAGGACTCGGACTTGGATTTAGCTGACAGTCGTGCACTCTGGCTGCCTGATCAAAATAAAGCTCAAAATTAATTTTAAAAGAAAAAAAAAAAAAAAAAAAAAAAAAAAGAAGAAATTGCAAACTACTGTTATTTGTTGTGATCGACTAATCCAGTTATTCTTCTCTCAAAGATCACTGAAGTCAATGTGCTTCACATTAGCTACACCAGCTGCAAGGTAGAGCCACAGTGACAGAACCGGCATTCGAACTTTATAATGGTGCTAAAATCTATGAAAACGTCTACTTTTTTATTTTCTGTGTTCTTAAAGTTTGTATTAGGCATAAAAATCAGTATATTCTCTTTTTTTTTCATAAAAGCTTCTGACACAGAAGTTTTTAGGATATAAGCATATTTTTTTTTGTACGTATTATTTCATCTCAAGCATCTTGATAAGATTCGTCACAGAAAACGGAGCTTCTAACAGCTATTGTTATATCTGTTTTCAGGCAAAGTTTCCAAACACGGTATGTCCAGTCTTTAACAATGTTTTGGGATCAGCTGTCATTTTGCCCATAAGATTTACACATTTCTCACTGGAAGGTGATATGGTATGCAATTCTGTATAAAAGCATGAAAAATGGCTTTGTTGTCCTAGGAATGCTGTTCCAAAACCATTATCTGGCAATGTGTCAGTGTCTTCTGCATTCAAGCTCAAAAGCAATGTGTTTATACTTGTTTTTACATGTACAGGATATTTTTTTTTCTGCAAATATTTTAATAATCTAAAGATTATTCTGACTTTGGATTTCCGTTTATATTAATAATCCTCAGTGTTTCCACATTTAAGAATAGAATTTTGAGCTTTGAACAAGGAAATTGTATTTTTAAAACTCCTGTCTTTCAGTGTTTATATTCTGGGTTTTGGCATATTTTAAACAATGCAGTGTTCAACATCGCGGTTATCCAGTTATCATTCGGTTTGTGATCTTGCCAGTGAGCTACAACCTTAAGGATCATGAACAGAAAAAGGGCAAGGAGAAGCAGGATTAGGGTGGAGGAAAGGAAGGAAAAAGATACTTTGAAGGCATCTCGCAAATGTAAGCTAGCAATTTAAAATCAAGAGGGATCATTAAGTGTTTTAATCAGTATCCTAATGTATCTAATATCAGCAGAAGCAATTTCATTAAGCACCAACCAGTCAAGCTCCTAGGGTACTTATTGGTCTGCAGTATAAAACAAATTCTACTTGAAAATAAAATGATAGGTCTGAAGAAAACTGTTGTTCAGACAGACGAAGGAGATAATCTTGCCCTCCCTTCCCACCCCTGTAGTAGCTGACAATATTTACCCTGACTGCAGAGGGAACAGGATTTGATTTTTCAGTCTTTTTTTTTTTGGAAGATCTACCCCTTCCTCTGCTCCCAAACTGCAGAGCAAAATACTTATATCCAGATGCTTGTAAGGATATTTCCTTAGAATAAAAAGAGCACAGCTTTCTTCATGTGACTGTGAAAGATGGTGATGAATTTTAAGATGTGTTTTTATTCCTTTTCTTTTTCTCTCAACTTCACCCTTTTTTCCAGGTAAATAATACTGGGAAAAGAAGAAATAGCAGCCTTATAGCATTGAATTTGCTTAAAAGTGTTCATGCTCTCTACTTTGAGTACTGTCAGTTTGGGAACATAGTTTCACCATACACATAGTGTAGAGTAAAAGGTTCATTACCACCTGATACTTTTTTCTAATGATAGCCGAATACACATGTTCTCAGAGTTTCAGGAGAACTAGTTATTGTTATTTAAATATTTTATATGATTGTGTGGTTTTGCTTTTTGAAATCATAAGAATTTTTAACAGACTTAGGATTTATAATCAACACATACACTTTTTATTGGAAGCTTTGGGGGCATAACATAATGTGAGTTTGCCACTTCAGTATATCTTGCACAACTAAACTGAATCAAAGACATTCCATATGCAAAGAATTTCAGGGCCACACAATGGCACAGGGCAGAGTGCCTGGAATTCTTCAACTAGCAGAGGTGCTCACTTGTATAAGTGTACTTATAAATTTATGTGGCATGTTCTTGTTCTTCCAATGCAATGTGCTACTGTTGGCAAGTGAATTCTGAAGACCTCTTTGTATTGTACACCACAATCAAAAATTCCTTAAAATAATTTTCAACATGTGAATTGTGAAAGTGAATTCTTAAGTTCTGATTGGTCTGTTTGCGAAACCGTAAAGGAATATTCATTCTCTCTTGAAATTATGTTGTTGTAATTTGGTTACAACACCTGTGTATCTTGGCCTGGAAATTCTAAGTGTGGCACGTGTAACACTTGTTTGAAGTATTTCTGTAGCAGTAGTTCCTCAAGAAATAAGTATGCAGCTCCAAAAGTACTTGAAAATATTTCCTGTTTTAAAAAGATAAGAGGGAAATAATGGCTACATGTTGAGGGAAAACCTCGTTAGCTCATTCAGCTCTTTATTCATATAGATACCGTGAAGCAGCCAACAGTCATAATGGAAGAACTGTTTAGTCTAACTGGAAATCTTACCACTTTTTCTTATAAATCAATCTATTGGTGAGAAACTATTAGATATTAAAACTAGTCAAATTGATTTTGATACAGAGACAGAGACACCTTTTCTGTTTTCCAGCAGGTGTTCTAATATCTGCCACAGCTGACAGTCTGCTTTATTTGTAGAAGCTATAGAATAAAGTGGTTTATTAAAATATTTTGAAGTAGTGTTTTGAGATATTTTTCTGTTGCAGTAAAATTCCCATTCTGACTCACACTGTCATTTCATTTATCTTTTTCCCCATCTCACAGGAGTGTTTTAAACATACTCCAGTACTGTGGTTTTGTGCAGTTAAAACTAGTGTTAACAAAACAAGAATGCATTGTACTTTTTTTCTTTTTTAAGCTGTTTCAATGTTAGTTGGCTTTTAAACAAGTCAGAGTACTTGGATATTTATTTTTTCTTCAGGTCTTTCCAATACCTAACTTGCAATCATACTATGATACCTGCTTTAAAGATGGCTTAGATTATTTTAAAATACATATACAAGTATTTTCAGATAATTCTTAGTGACTGTGACACTGAAGGATTTTTTGCCTACATAAATAAATATGAGATCATCTTGTGTCTGAAAGTTATCATTAATCACTTGCCAGATTCTTTCCAAGTGTTGATTATTCAGTAGCTCAGCTGTTGCCATAATATTCTTCCTCTGCAAAATGTTTAGTGTAGAGGCATTAAGTATTATCAGCATTGCATTTTGCTGTGTGTTCCATAGTGTTTCAAAGTTCTGTGTATTGAGCCGTTAACTGTTAATAAACTAAACCCATGGGCAGTATCTTATTTTTAAATTACTATTTGTTGAAGTCAGAGAAGCATTATCAATATGCTCATTTTGACAAGTTTGTCCCTGCATATGTCTTTCTGCATTTAGGTCAGTAATGAGTGTAGAATGGCAGTAAATAGATAATATGTATAGAACGCTTTGCTTCAACAACACAAATGCAAGATGAAATAAAATAAACAGATTCCATTCTTCATGGGTTTTGTATGTTCTTTTCTTTCATCTGCCCTTTTCAATAGCATTGTTATTGCACAGGTGAGTACAAAAACATGCTGTGTTGCTAATGCCTTGTATGAATCTGATGCATATTATGCTAAATTTATTGTACTACCTTGTATATATCTTTTTACTAGTACTTCTTCTCTAGGTTATTATTGTCCAGCTGAAAAGGCTGTACCACAACATCAGGAAGTGCCTTAAGATGTTTGCAGTACTTTCGTTATCATACTCTTCCAAGACCTTTAAATACAAGTTCTCTTCACTCTTTAAGCATGTGTGTACATTGATAGCTGTCACAGCTTGTGCTTTCTCTTCAAACAGTTCTCCAAAACTGCTCCTCCAAGAACTCACACGTTTTACTTTCCCTGTCCTGTCCCCACACTTGCAGGGAAGTTGCAGTAAAGACCTATCAGAAATGGGGATTCCTTCCTCCTTACTCTAAAATCAAGGGACATTAAGTTAAACTTTCATACCTAGCAGAGTTTTCAGGAGCAGTGGCATAGTTAGCACACAGAATTGCCTAACCAAGTTACTTGCAATGAAGTCCCATATCTAAGAAAAGTGTGTGTGTTCAGTCTGAAAAAACAGTCTGAATTATTTCTTTATTGACCTGTAGTCCAGCTGTAAGGCTAATGTAGAATTTGAAAAGAAATAGCGGCATTTATAAAGATTGTTGCATGTTTTTGCCTTGAATTCTTCCTGGAAAAGGTCTTAACATGGTCAAGTGAGGTTTTATTACAGGTACACTATTTAAGACTGGTGTGTTTTGTTTTTTAATGACCTTCCTACACCAGAAAAAATCTTGGAGGAGGTGTAGCAATTTCAGCATTGGATGTTCCGTTAGTCACAAGTGGGGGCTTTTGCTAAAAAAACACCTGTAAAAATTTTACCACTGTAGATTCATATAATTTGTATCTACTAAGCCGTAAGAGAGTTTGTTTAGTAAAACTACCAGCAAAGCTTTTAATGTAAGTGTGCTTTAAGTTACTTTCAAAAACTTTACAAATGCGATGGAAGTTTCATTATTTACTGGTAGTAGGTAACTAGTGAAAATGTTGGGGCTTCCTGTGATTCTCTTCTCCTCTTCTACAACAAAACAGGTATTGGGGGTATTTTGACCATGATGGTGTATTGCTTGTATTTCAATATTCAATCTTTAAGTAAAAGGTTGAAAATCACTGAGATTCTGTAAACTTTATCTCCTGCATCTACGCGAATGGTGATTATTAGCAGCTATGAAAAATGGTTTTAATTAATATGAGATATTCCATCTATATAAAATTATTTTGTCCTGACTGCTCATGGCATATTAGTATGATTAATTCTAAGTACTGGGGAGTCTGACTTCTAAAACTGAGTATAAGTCATTAGTCTCTGAGGAATGTATGTTTAATTGTAATATTTTTACAACAATTAAATATGTGAGCTTATTAAAATGATACTATCTTTCAAGATATT